AACCAAAGAATTTTAACAGCATGTTAGTTGAGAGATGCTTTTTAGACCTAGTGCAAAGTCGCTGCAGCACCTATGGGAAGGGAAGTTCATTCTTAAAGAGGTTGATTATTGCTGTAAATATCAATCCTAACTACTTCTGTTTCTGTGAACACTACAGAAGGGACATTTTTTCCCTTCTCCAGTGTGATGTTTTCGGATACCTTCATTTTCTCTGCCTGACCACCTGACATGACTGCTCTCCTGGAAGCCTCCCCTTCCTTGAAACCTAGTGCCTATTTTAAATGTTTGTATTCTGGTTCAGCCAGGCAACATATCTATAATTTATGCTAATTGTCATACTTTCACAGCAGCAATTTTGTGCAGAGAGGCTCCCACCCATCAAGCGCCTCAGCTTGTGCATTCTCCACGCGCAGTGGGACTGGTTACCCGTAGCGTGCCCTGGGCATGGGGCTGGCTATCAGCTCTCTGAAACGCTCCCCTGGGACAGGGAACAGCTCTACTAGGCCTGTATTCTGCAGTAACGGAAAGGTAGGCATGGTTCAGAAACAACGATGACCCTGAATATCAGTTTTTTCTTTTTTAATATTTTCCTCTGGTGGAACAGGTGCTGGTGCCACATTGTTTTGCTTAGCGAAAGTATGAGTGGCTAGAAATCAGGTCATGTTTTGTGTAGGTCACTAAGGAAACGGCTTACCTGTGTAATAACTTGATTGATAGGTTTTATAAGTAATTGTGGCACTCGCCCTGGAGTAATTACCTAGTCAATTAGAAACTAAGAGCTACGGTAAGCAGATAATGTATTGAAATCAGATTTTTTTTCTCTCCTGTTATCTGAAACGTGTATCTGCGCTTTGAAGTACTGTCAGCACTGGCTGAACTTTAGCTCAGATCGGCCCTGTTCCACTGGGATAATGAGCAATTAACCAAACTGTGATCATCTTCCAAAGCATGAGCTTATGTTGCATTCTGACTTGGAGCCCAGGGACCTTTGCAGACTCTTCTCCCAGTAGGGTTGCAGGGAGTTTACAGAAAGAGAGTGTGACAGCAGGGTAAGAGCTGTCAAGAGCTACTGGAAGTACAGTTTGCAGTGATGGGGTGCGCACGATTTTCCAAACCACCAGGAAAATGGTACTACTACATTGTTTCCACAGCCTAGTTTTGGAAGGGCAATGATTAACTAGGGGAAGGAAGGTGATGCTGAAGATCTGAAAGAACATCCACTGAAGATGATGCATGTAACAAGAAGAGCTGGAATTTTAAATGTGATGGTATTACCAAACATGTAACAGAGCTGAGGCAGAACTAGCATAACAAAGCAGTGTGTTCTTACGGTGTTTTCTCTCTCCTCCAGGACAAAACCCCTCAGTATTTACTTGCTGTGCTCTTACTTCTGAGAGCAAAATGTACCAACGTGCCAGTGCTCCAGCAAACTCAATACCTTTAATGTAGTTCCTCTACAATACAGGAAAAAAACCCCACTAATTCCAGTGTACAGATAAGCAGTTTATTTTATTCATGTTACCATCTTCAGTGAGTCAAGCCATACTGCACAGTTTTAACTTCTGAACAAGCTTAATTGAAACTCACTTAGAAGCTTTTTGGGTTTCAGTAGGAAAGCTGTTTAATATTTTTTAAATGAAGCTTTATCATTAAAACAGCAGCAGGAATATTTAGCCATCCTGCTGAGACACAGAAGGCTACAACTAGCCTTGAAAATAAAATTTGCTTGCCTGATCCCAGTCTCTGGAAATACTTAAGCATATTCCACATCAGCAGCATCCATACAGAACAGCGCTTACCAAACTATCTGCAGTCAACAGGTCGGGCCAACTGGCCTACACATTTGTTTATTACCCAGAGGGTGCCAACTCATCGGTCACTGTGGCTCAGTGGTTCAGACATTAGGTAGTCACCTCTGCAGAGGATCTGAGATGGCTGTGTACACGCTACCAGCATGGACGTCAGCTGGTACATAACAAGCACCTCTACTAGGAAGTAAATTGCAGTATGTCAGCAAAAAAATAAAATAAATAATTAACAATTTTAAAAAAATCGGTGGAGCTACAGTAACGCGTGCCAGATGAACACAGGCATTGGCACCGGCCCTGTTCTCCGGTGAGATACAAAGTGCACACATGCATTAACTGTCCTTGCCTCACCCCAGTAAACCTAGGCATAGAGCTGTTCCGCCACCTCTCTTGTGAGCTGAGTAAAAAAAGCAAATCCATCCTGAGCAGTGACAGACTAGTGAGATGCAACGGGGCAGTACTGTATCACAAACAGACTGGTTGCACCTGAGCAGCCCACTGAAGGCCAGCCTGAAATCGGCTTAATAGGCTTTGTAGAACAAGCATCCCCTTAGGAGTCTCCGCTTGAGGGTATAAAAAAAAAAAGGATTATCGACACAGTCTTTCACCCACTTGTCAGAGATTATTTTCCTGTGCAGCCTGGATGTCTGACAGAAGTGCTCTACTGAGGAATAAACAGAAACCAGCTCAAAGACGGACAGAAACTAGCTCACAGTACAGTTTCCCTGACAACGCCAATAAGACTGTGAGGCCGTTCATGCTCTGCTCTCTGGATCCTCCTCTCTGCTGGCTGATCATCTGCGGTGAAAGTACTCAGGTCACCACAGCTCTCCAGGTGCAGCACTCCAGGGTGCCGTCTGAAAGGTAGCACGTGGGCGCTCGGTGACATGGCTTGCGGGGCAGCCGCCATCATCTTTAAAAGGAAAAGAAAAATGAAAATCAGATTGGTTTTCACGCTCTTTCCACTGAAATAGTTTCTTACTCAACTAGGAAGAAGCTAAGTTGTTGTAGTGCTGTCTGTTATTTTTAAAGAATAATAAAAAAAGCTGAGACTAAAACTGCAATTTGTCAGGAAGGCAGGTGAAAAGCAATCCCAACTGGGAAAAGGTGTGAGTTTTGTCTTCAAAAAATGGAGGGGAAAAAAAAAAAGGCTATGCTAGAATTAGCTCACCCCAAACCACGGCACGTCAGATATTGCTTAACAGGAACCTAAATGTTGCTTTGTGCAGAAACCACTGGACTGTAAGAGCTGTCAGGCCAGTGTGATAAATTAAATTCTCGTAAGGATTTTTTTTTTTCCCAGCTGTTTCTGTCAAATTTGTTGAGGCTTTTGTTGCCCGTAGGCTGCAGTGGGAAATCTCACTTTATCTGCAGAGCCTAAATTCCAATCTTTCATGTGTTTTGTGTGAGAACTCAAACCAAAACTAGTTGTTACAGCAAATCACTTGTACCGTGCGTGAATCAACTCATCTATCCAAATGGTCTGTAAGCTACCAAAACATTTTTCTGATGAAGTAAGTCTGTGATGTCTGAAACTTATGAATATTTATTCTATTAATGTAAGCACATTTTTTCTACTTTCTGCTTTTTTTTCCTTTAGTACTAGGTCTTAATTTTATTATGGGATCTAATCACAAAAAGTTGCCTCTTGTGGGTTTACATAAAAATTTCCTTGTCAGGCTCCATTCCTTCCAGTTTATAACAGCAAATACTTTGTAACATCTTTTCCCTCTCCCCTGCCACACTCGGTATAAAACACTGTCATGTTATTTGCAGTTCATGATTCTACCACAGAAGACCATCTCCTTCAGCTTTTCAACACACACGTATTCGGTCTTCTGAAAACCCTCCTGGCTGTGTGGCTGACAGAGCAAGAGAGATAACAGCTGCACAGCCTCTCACGCACTCCCTAAGTGAAATTGAAGTACCTAAGGAAGCTAATGGGGTTCAAAAACTTTGACATAGAAAGCAGAGCAGCAAATGTAAACCTGTACTCCCAAACCAAGGCCAGCTTAGGCTTCCACATCACCTGATAAATACAAGTAATAAATATACCTGCTCAAGGAAGGTGGCACTGGTGATAGCTTCTGCCATAAGTTTCTCATCTGATCTTAAAACAGACTTGATACTTTCCACCAATTCATGTATGTCAGGGCCCATGCTGCAGCAGGATTGCTCTAGGATCCATGCCACGGGCCGTTTAGTGTCTATGTAAGTCTTATAGTCTATCAAAGATTGGGGTCTTCTCCTCAAAGCTCTTGCTCTCAAACTCTTCTGCAAGGTGACAGCGCAGGGTTTTGGTTTTCCTTCAGACTGTGTTGCAGCTCCACAGCTGAGCACTGCCCCTGAAGACAAAAATCAAACAAAACAAACAGTCCACTTGGTTCACAGTACCGTTCAGTAAGCATCCCCTGAGATGTCACTCCCGATTGAGTTATGATGCTGTGCACAGTTTAACCACGTAAAAGCCAGCAGTCTGGCATGGTCAGGGCGACATGCAAGGCTCACTCTGTATGGGATTGACACTAGAGAAATGGCCTGTAAAACAGAGTAGTACATAGCCATGGCTGAGTACATAACACGTGTCAAAGAGTCTGCAGGGGCATCTCTGGGAAAGCTATTTGCCATTTTGTGTACATCATTCCTTTCTCTTTTGCTTCTGTTCCAAACAGACCTGAAATGAGCTTTGAGTGTTAATGTTAACATACAGTTATACAAAGCAGGTTAAGCAAAGCTTGAAGGCTTTTATGATCTCTCCTAAGCTTTCTGTAACTTCCAGTTATTACCAGTCAAAATGGCTAGTTACAAAAATATATGAAAATAGTTGTCAAGCTGGAAGCTAGCAATACTACAAAGTGAAAATGTAATGAAAAATAAAATAAAAAAAAATTCAAAATCACCTTGCAAGGACTAAACAAGGGGCAGCAGGGAATCAATTCCACTGCCTTCAGTCCCAATAAAAATCCACTGCCTTTGGACTAAATAACTATCATCAATTTTTGGCCCTGTTAAGAAAAATAAATAAGAGCAACTACAGGCTGTTCAAGAAGCACTTTAGCATTGGCTTTCTACCAAACACAGCAATTCCAGGGGGAGATCCAAAACTTTCCAGCAGGAAGAGCGCTAATTAACTTGAAGCAACTTCCATTGTTCTGTTGCAGCCGAGTTCCCTTTCTGCAGCTCTCACGTATTTAACACGCCGGCCCAGTGCTGAACAGACCTAACCTCAGCTACACGGAGCCTAAAGCGCCCAAATGCTTGTGACCAGTGGAATTTCTCTACAGCAGAAACGCTCTGTTCCGCTTGCAGAGCTGTGAACAGGCTCTGTGTCATGCACCAGTTGCTTCAGCAGCAGATTCTCTGGGGTGCTGCCGTGGAGGCTGACAGGAAGAAACAAGAAAACACACGATGTTGCAGAGACATAAAAGCACTCCACCAAACAGTAAATGCAATCCAGATAGGCATGCTTCCAATATTCAGAATAAATGGTTATTACTAACATGTCCCCTCCCCACTTACATTTTGTGAGTGCTAATATGTATCAGCAGCTACTACGGGGATTCCAATATCCCCTGATAAAAACCCCAAGACTCTCAACTGGTGGATTTTTAAGACAGCCAACAGAACCCAGGACTATGCAGCTGCACTAGCAGTTATCCCACCACAACTGAATAGGATCGCTGACACCAAAGTAGCTGCAACAGACTTCATCGTCTCTCACCGTGGGTTTTTTCCATTCAGTTTTTGGGTTTTTTGATGCTATGAGGAGCAAGAAAAGGGGTGAAAATTCATAAGCTAATACCAAATATCCAAGCTAATTGTGCTTTAAGTTGCTCACACTGACAACCGCCCTCGCAAGCTTTTAGATGCCAGAGTACGAATACACTGAGAAGTCCTATGTGCTCCCTCCTCCTCATCTTCCACCACCCCTGCCTCCTCCCCAAACTAGCACTGCCTGCTACAGGCTCTGCTGCGAGCTGTGAAAGCCCAAAAATTGCAGCAAGACTAAGGTGTTGGGTGGAGCAGATCTGGCAAAGCGCAAACTGTTTGCTGTAACACAGGTGCTCTGTCAGGACACAGTGGCTGATTCCTCCGGGTACTGGTTTCCAGGTTGATCTGGTTCGGCTGCCGCCGGCAACAAAAGCACCACGCAGCCG